GTCTCAGTCTCCTGAGCTGTTGGGATTATAAGCGTGCACCATCACACCTGACTTAAATTGCCTAAATTTTAAGTAAAAGGCCTAGCATTTGAACTGCCCTCTAATTGTTTCTTGGCCTTTTAGCTAAATCAAGTGTGAACTGCCTTCTATTTCTGTCCCCTGTATGAGTCTTCTCAATAAAGCCACTGTTGTAGAAATATTTATTTTAGTTACCTCCATAAGGCCTAAATTTAGGTGATGGCAATGGGAATGGATAGGGAAAGCACAAGTTCTGAAAATGAATGGAATTGAACTAGGTGAACTTTCAGCTCCCTTCTCATTACATCATATGATCTACTTTATATTTTATTTTCAGAATTTATAATATATATTTTTCTCTTGTTTGATCATCTGTAGGTTTTAGATGGAGCTGGATTAGATATTGATTTCTACCTTGCCTCTCCAGAAGGCAAAACCTTAGTTTTTGAACAAAGAAAATCAGATGGAGTTCACACGTAAGTAATCTCTTTGAGTTCTTTTGGCTGAATAATACCAGTGAGCTATCTTGAAGACTGAGAAATTTAGTATTTTCAGTACTAAATATCAATATTAGATAACTTCACGTGATTTTAAACAGTCCTTGATGGTGGACCATCTTCTAAACTTAAAACGTCTTCCATTACCCTTTCTTTCGTTTGCTTCCCCCAGATTCCCTTTGAGACGGGGTCTCGCTATGTTGACCAGGATGACACTGATCCCTGTGCTCATAAGATCTTTCCTCAGCTGCCCCAGTAGCTGCAACTAGCGTTTTTCTTTTGGTTAAGGCATTTTTTTTTAATATTTTTAATTGTTGAACACAATATCTTTAATTTTATTTATTTATTTTTATGTGGTGCTTAGGATGCCCCCCACTCACCCCGAGGCATTTTGTTTTGATCCTAAATTTTTTCTTTGCTTTGTATTTAACTAGATTAGTATTCCTGGGTATTACCTTCAACATACTGTGGCATTTTTTTCTGGCTAGCACAGGCTTTTCACTTTAATTGAAAAGGTATTGTTCCAGGTTTTGTGTCTTCATATTTCTTAAACTGCTAAGCTATATCATGTATGTCCATAGTTTTCTTTCTTAAAGCAGTGATCTGAGTGTGTGTGTGTGTGTGTGTGTGTGTGTGTGTGCGCGCGCGCGCGCACGCGTGTATGTGCATAAATTGATTTTTACTCAGAACTCACTTTTTTTTTAATTATTAGAAGGTTTACAAGCAAAATCTGACCAATAAGAAATCGTACAACTGAGTTAGTACTACCCTGATTCACACCAGAAATTGCTTATTTAAGTTCAGAGTTTGACATATTCTCTTCTTACATTTCACTTCTCTCTTTTCATCTCACTGATATATTTCCCTTTTCTATTTTATGATTTTACTATAGCACTTTCTTTAGTCAGTATCATTATTGTGTTAAAACTAAACTCTGAGTTTACAGAAAGAGGAAGAACAAATATGGAATATCTTTCCATAAATTAAGATTGGCATGTTATAAGCTTCTAAATTAATTTTTCCAACCTACTACAAAATAGATTGATTCCCAATTCTGATTTTACAGACAAGGACCATAGAGAAGTTAAATAAGTCTGCAGGGATGCATGTTCAGGGCGGAGACAGGATGAACCCAAACTCTTGCTTTCTACCATTTGATGCTTAGAACATCCCTGGCACATAGCACTATTTTAAGGACTAGCTATTATTATAATTATTGGTCTTTATTAACCAGCGTGCCTGGCATGTAATTGATACTCAATAAACACTAAATAAATGAAAGGAAAACAAGTCTCAACTGTAATTTTTTAGGATACTAATTTAAAATGCTTTTTAATGATATTTTACCTATGTAGAACATGGGGAAATATTTGTATAAAACATTAGTAGATGAATAGTAGTGGTTCATCTTCTAAGTTTCAGAATATAAAAAATTTCTGTCATTTTTTTTATTTCTTCCCAATTAACTGGTCTCCTTCAGTGATAAATCATAATTAACTCTTAGGGAGAAAATTATTATATTGCTTTATTCCATAGAATTACTTCTAATTAAACCATTGGGAGATGACTTTTTTTTTTATCTTTGTGTGATTTTTATTTCAAATATTTGTTATAACACCATCATTATTCCTTGGAACAAGAGCAAATTCACCCCCTGCAGAAACTTAGGAACTATGTACAGAATTTTACAGAACAGAGGCAACACTTTGGCAGAGGCTGAATGTTGACCAGAGAGTGGAATTCAGCCAGGTAAGGGGAAGATGAAGGTGCCTGTGAATCCAACTTCAGCTGCCATCAGGGCATACCTTGTGCCAGTCACAGATTGTATGCTGTTTTTGGAAGGTTTAGGTGCAACACAGGAATTCCATTTGTCTACTGGTTAAACCGCTGACTGTGCCATTAGGTCAATGTCACTCAAGTTTCTGGCCAGCCAAACTCCTGCAGCCAAGAGTCCCAAGCTCAGGATCAAGATCCTCTAGAAATCATTCCTATCCATGACAAAGCAATAGACTCCTCAGAGCCAGTCCAGAATTTCAAGGCCTTCATTTGAAGAGCCGGCAGTGCTCACTTTAACCCTGCTGGAAGCCATTGATACTTTGGATCTCTGCACAACACTTGCAAGATCAAGACTTTCATTTAAAATAATTCATATTTGTTGAATTCTTTTAATATGCCAGTGCAGTAGTCTAAGTACTTTTCATGTATTAGCTTTTTTTTTATTCATCACAATTCTAAAAGGTACATAATAATAATACCATTTTACTAATGAGTAAATGAGGCATAGAAGAAGTTGCTGAAGGTGAATAGCAACCAACTAATGAATAGCAAAACCCACATCTAAACCCAGGCAGTCCAAATTTAGAAACCTACTTTGTAAAAAGTAAATTTAAACAAAATTTTTGTCTTTAGTTATATTTTTTGTAAAGGCAACTAAAGTCTTAGGACATTTGAATAGGTTTTCCCTTTAAAAAATATACTTTCTAAAAAGTAAATTTAAACAAAAAGTAATTTTAAACAATTTCTAAAAAAGTAAATTTAAAAGGTCTCTAAAGAGAGCATTAAATAGCATAAGCAAAATCTGTCTAGCAGTGCCTGGAATGCATTTTTTCCTAGGCAACTGAATTAGTACTACCCTGATTCACAGCAGAACTTAAACATTTTGAACTGTTTGTGTTCACTCTTCATTCTACTAGAACTTTATGCATTTTCTTTCTTACATACATGACAATAGTGGAATGCATTACAATCATAATTATCCATTCACAGCACAATTTTTTATAACTGTATATAAAATATGTTCACACCAAATTATGTCATTACACATGAGCTCTTATTATTTTTTATTACAATTCTTAATACAACTTTATACCTCAATTTATCATATCTCTGTTTGTATATAAGGTATGTTGACACCAAATTCACATCTTCATACATGTATTTTGTATAATGATGAGAGTCTCCTTCCACCATCCATGCTATTCCACTTCTTCCTCCCTTTCCCTCCCACCCCTATTCCCTATCTGGAGGTAATCTTCCTCCCATGCTCTCCCTCCCTATCCCATTTTGAGTCACCCCTCTTATATCAGAGAAGACATGGCATTTTTTGGGGGGGGGATTGGCTAACTTCACTTAGCATAATCTTCTCTAATGCCATCCATTTCCCTGCAAATGCCATGATTTTATTCTTTTTTAGTGCTGAGTAATATTCCATTGTGTATAAATACAACATTTTTTTTTATCCATTCATCCACTGAAAGACATCTAGGTTGACTCCACAATTTAGCTATTGTGAATTGTACTACTATAAATATTGATGTGGCTGTGTCCCTGTAGTATGCTGTTTTTAGGGCCTTTGGGTATAGTTGGAGAAGAGGAATAGCTGGGTCAAATGGTTAAGTTGATTCCCAAGTATTTTATTTCTTTTGAGGATATTGTTAATGGGGTAGTTTTCCTCATTTCCTTTTCAGAGGATTTGTCACTGATATACAGAAATGTCTTTGATTTATGGGTGTTGATTTTATATCCTGCCACTTTGCTGAATTCATTTACTAGTTCTAGAAGTTTCTTGGTAGAGTTTTTTGGGTCTTCTAAGTATAGAATCATATCATCAGCAAATAGTGCTAGTTTAAGTTCTTCTTTTCCTATAGTTATTCCTTTAATTTCTTTCCTCTGTCTAATTGCTCTGGCCAGTGTTTCAAGAACTATGTTGAATAGAAGTGGTGAAAGAAGGCATCCCTGTCTTGTTCCAGATTTTAGAGGGAATGCCTTCAGTTTTTCTCTGTTTAGAATGATGCTCGCCTGAGGCTTAACGTAGATAGCTTTTACAATGTTGAGGTAAGTTCCTGTTATCCCTAGTTTTTCTAGTTTTTTGAACGTAAAAGGGTGGTGTATTTTGTCAAATGCTTTTTCTGCATCTATCGAGATGATCATATGGTTCTTATCTTTAAGTCTATTGATGTGATGAATTACATTTATTGATTTCCGTATGTTGAACCACCCTTACATCCTGAGGATGAACTTCATGAATTTTTAGTTGGATAGTTTTTTGCATCATTTGTCATAAAATTCATTTTTAAAAGTTGTTAACATAGATTTAGAAAAAAATAATGTAGGAATGACTTAAAGTATTAAGGCATCTTTGTTTTTAACATACTTGCTGAAGCTCATACATCTGAGTCAGTATTTCTCAACCTTTTCATTTGTACTTTCTTGCCCCACTTGAAGCCTTTTTAGACATTTTTTCCTAGTTAACATGCCATGAAACTTTAATACCACAGATACATTGCTTATCTGGTTATGTACTATATATATATCTGCACTTTATGCAAAGGTTACTCTTCTTATTAGTGGGTAAGAATGGCTAAAGTTGAGTTAATAACATCAAAACTAAATTCAATTAAAACAGAAAGCTCTTAAGATTAAATATAACTTTTATGTGTGTGTGTGTTTATGTGTGTTTGTGTGTGTGGTCCTGGGAATTGAACCAAGGGGTGTTCAACTGAGCTACTTCCCCAGCCCTTTTTATTTTTATTTTTTTATTTTATTTTGGTACCAGGGATTGAACCCAGGGTACTTAACCACTGAGCCACATCACCAGTTGCTTAGGGCCTTGCTAAGTTCCTAAGGCTGGCTTTGAACAGCAGTTCTCCTGCTTCAGCCTCTCAAGCCACTAGGATTACAGGTATATCGACCATGCCTGCCTTAATTTTTTATTTTGAGACAAGTCTTGCAAAGTTGCTGAAGGCAGGCCTTGAATTTGCAATCCTCCTGCCTCAGCCTGCTTAGTCTGCTTAGTCACTGAGATTAAAAGCATGTGCCATTACACTGGCTTTTTTTTTTTTTTTTTTTTTTTGAGACAGGGTTTTGCTAAGGTGCTGAGACAGTCCTCAAACTTGTAATCCTTCTGCCTCAGTCTCAGGAATTACTGGGATTAAGGCACATGCCACAACACTTGGCTAAATTAACTTTATGAGTAATTTTTCATGCAATTTATTTGCTCATATATAGTAATATATCAACTATACAATGCAAAGCAGTTTATATAAATATATAAGAATAGCAATGTAATTTAAAAAATTTTAAAAGCATTCAAAACATTTTTTCATCAAAAGTAAAATTATTAGAAAATTACATTAATTTTTTAAAAATGATTTTTAGTAAAATTATTTGTATGGTGTTGAGGATTGAACCTAAGGCCTTGTGCATGCTAGGCAAGCACTTTACCACTGAGCTACATCCCCAGCCCCAGAAATTAATTTTTGCTTAATAAGGTCAGTGAATTTTAACTAGCTACTATTTGTTCAGATATTATTGATAGTTTTTTCAGGATTTGGCATGATTAATGTTGGGTTAAATAACCTCTATAGAATTAAATAACAAAATATACTCATTTTTGTTAATTCCCCAGAGAAGCATTGAGGATTAAACATAAATATTCACATGAGAGCCAGTGGCAATCAAGAGGCATATTGTAAACCACCTCTGCAGTATGATTTCAGGAACAAGCAGTCAATCAATTGAAAGTCCTCCAAAAAACTGCTATTTTTCATTGCTTTATAGACTGTTATTGCATACATTTTGTGTATTTTCTATGATTTCATGCTGCTTGTAAGATACTAGAAAAACCCAATTACAGAAATTGAATTTTTAAAGAATAAAATTCAGATAGGATTGAACGTTGAAGGGTCATAAACCATTATAATTAGCCATTAGCTAAGAAATTTTGCTCTTTTCTGAGCAATATCACACCCATTGAGGATACATGGTCTGAATAAATGCTGTCAGAAACTTTTTGTTAATTGGTTATATTGTTGGTGTGAATAAATTAGAGAATAATAGAAAGTGTACCTCTGGGAAATGTCCCACATGTGGGTAACTTAATATTCATGATTCATGTCTTTATAGTTTGTTTATGTTTTTTTCCTTTTAAAATTGTTCTCCATTGTATTCACCAGTCTTTGCTCAGCTCCTTCCAAAGGTAAAATAAGTGCTCAAAAGAAAAGTTTGCCACAGTTGAGGCAATTGCAAAGAATGCACGCAATCTCTGAGCTGTATTATAGAAAGATGAATTAACTTCAAAATCAGAAAACAAACTTCATCTATGTGATCATAGGCAAGTATCTTAACTTGTTTAAAACTTATTTTACTTACCTGAAAAAGGCCAATTATGCCTAATTCCAAATATTGATAAGGATTAAGAGATAAAATATGTGGAGCTAGAGACGTAGCTCAGTGATAGAGTACTTGCATAGCACGTGTAAGGCCCTGGGTTCAGCACTCAGTACCACATAAAAGTAAATAAATAAAAGTATTTAAAAAGAGATAAAATATGTAAAAGGAGTGTGTGAATTATGAAGGTATATATACAAGTATTGACTATTACTATTTATAGTACATATGTTAACATCTGTTTACATTATTATCTGTTATGCTTAAATAAAAATCAATAAGTTAACAACAGAACTTAGCCATGGTGACTTCTGTGATAGAATGTTTTCCTCAGGAAATGCCTTTTCAAGTTGCAGTAAGCACTTAGCATCCTTTGATATATGACACTTGCCCCCAAATTAATCTGAATTTCACTGAAGATCTTAACTGAAAAGTATAGTTTGGATCCTCCCTTTCTCAAGCATGATTTTTATAGTGTTGTATAGAAAAGATATTCTAAGACAAAAGGTAATGTCCAGTGTAATAAAAATGATGAAATAAAGGATATTTGAAGGCTACAAATGTAACACTGGACCACAAAAAGATTAGAAATACTAATCCATAGCAGTTCTGACCTCACACCCCAACTCCTTAAGTCCCCCAATTCTAGTTGAAGCCTTTCTTGAGAAAGTAAATAGAATCAGATGATGAACAGTTTAAAATGCAGCTAGGATACTAGGGATAGAGCTTAGTGGTAGCTAACATGTGAGAGCCTGAATTCAGTCCCCAGTACTGCAAAAGAAAATTAAATGACGTAATATAAAATCAAATGCAAAGCCAGGCCAAGTGGCGTATGCCTCTAATCCCAGCAGCTCGGAAGGCTGAGACAGGAGGATTGAGAGTTCAAAGCCAGCCTCAGCAACGTCGAGGCGCTAAGGAACTCAGTGAGGCCCCATCACCCCATCTCTAAATAAAAAATACAAAACAGCACTGGGGATGTGGCTCAGTGTTTGCGTGACCCTAAGTTCAATCTCCAGTACCATAAATAAATAAATGAAATTAAAATAAAATGCAACTGAGAAGGTTTAGAAGTTCATCTAAGGAAATAGGAAACTTGCTAGATATATCAAAACCTTTATTAGAAATATCATTAGAATCGGGGCTGGAGTTGTGGCTCAGTGATAGAGCAGTTGCCTGGCATGTGTGAGGCCCTGGGTTCAATCCTCAGCACTGCATATAAAAAAATAAAAGACCCATTTATAACTTAAAAATATTTTTTTAAAAATCTCATTAGAATAAAGAAAACTTTCATGTGGGAAAAGATTAATGTACACATTAAGTACACTGAATTTTGTTAAAAATTCTTTGTTATTTACAGTTACTCTGACTGAGTTTTAGATCATATAGCATCTGAGTCAGTAGTTGTCGTAGCATAGGTTTTATGAACTCAGTTGCCCTACCAGAGTATTTGAGTTGGTTTTTGGCCAGTTTCTTAAAGTGTTAACAGTCTCTTTTGAAATAATTAACTGAATAACTGGTGTTTCAATGATATAAGAATGTAAACTAATTTTGCTGGTCTTTCAAAGAAGTGGTGTTTGTATCTTGTTTGTTTTCTTGTTGTTTGGGGTCCACAGTAGGGGAGGAAGGAAGGAAACGCACAAATGAATGAACGAATGAATGAACCATGGAAAAAACTACCAGTTCTTTTGAATATGAGGTAATAATGTGAATGGCATTTATTCGGTAAAGGTAATGCCACTAGGAGTAAAATTCTGAGTATTGACTGTAGGCCTCATCTATAACCATTGAAAACTGTATTATAAAAATGTATTTAGTTAGGAGTACTGGAAGAAAGCACTTAGTATAGACATTTCATTTCTACTTTTGAAAACAAAACTCAGTTTACAGATTAACTTCACTTGAAAGATAGGTGGAAAGACATGTTTATACACAAACTCATGATAAAATTAGCTTTTAACATTTATAAAGAATTAAGTTTATTTGAATTATCATATACTCAGGTTTTTAATATTTTATGTTCCAAAAACAGATGCAGTTACTTGAATGTATATATGTCCAAGAAACTAAAAATTATTTTTAGTACTAAGGAAATCTATTAGGAAGCTGTTCAATTTTTATAAACCATGTTGTTTCTTTTCTTTTACCTTTAGTTGTTTTTCCTTTGATCCCAAGTAGAAATATAGATAACTGAAAATATGCACTTTTTTTTAATACAGGGTTGAGACTGAAGTTGGTGACTACATGTTCTGCTTTGACAATACATTCAGCACTATTTCTGAGAAAGTAATTTTCTTTGAATTAATCCTGGATAATATGGGAGAACAGGCACAAGAACAAGAAGACTGGAAGAAATATATTACTGGCACAGATATGTTGGAGATGAAACTAGAAGACATTCTGGTTAGTATGATTTTTAATAAAATAATAAAAATTATTAATTTCAAAGGCCTAACTGTGTGATGGAAATTGATAACTAAGCATTTTGTATTTATTATTCAAGAAAATATGTTTCTAGTATTTTCTTACCTTTGCCATAAACAGTTTGACATTTTAAATCTCAATCTTACTTTCTGTTCATGTGGCCTTTATATCGTTTTTATTTTTTATTTTTTTAATTTATTTATTTAGAGATAGGGTTTCACTGAGTTGCTTAGCACCTTGGTGCTGTTGAGGCTGGCTTTGAACTCGTAATCCTCCTGCCTCAGCCTTCCAAGCTACTGGAATTACAGGCTTGTATCACCGTGCCCAGCTGTATCATTTTTAATAACTTGTTTCAACAGGACTCTATTATAAAAATATTTTATTCAGAAAATGTACAATTTAGAGTACATCTTTGTTAGACTTGTTTTATGAATATGATATTGGAATATTGATTATGATTTTGATTGTATAGTATGCACATCTAAAAATGGAATATTTTCTAATTTCACTATTCGTGAGATAAAAACATGGAGCTGGGCATGGTGGTGCACAACTATAATTCCAGCAGCTCAGGAGCCTGAGGCAGGAGGATCTGAGTTCAAAGCCAGCCTCAGTAACAGCGAGGTGCTAAGCAACTCAGTGAGACCCCATCTCTAAATAAAATACAAAATAGGGCTGGGGATGTGGCTCAGTGGTAGAGTGCCCCTGAGTTTAATACCTAGTACCCCACCCCTCTTGGTACCAAAAAAAAAAATAGTTGTAAAGGATAAAAAGATAATTTATTCAAAATGCCACTCATATTATCTATTTCATATTATCTATTATCAACTAATAGTATCTTTGTTCCTTTTAAAAGTAGCTATAAACACAATAATTTAAATACATCAGAAGAATTATTATATAACCTTACAGCTTCTTTATGTAATAAAATAGCTATCCCTTAATTAAATCAAGTACCTATCTTGAAATTGTATTTAGATTGAAAAACTTAGCATAAAGCATATCATTAACGGAAAATATCTGAAATATTCTTTTATAGTAAAATAATTTTCTTTATCTTCAGGAATCCATCAACAGCATCAAGTCCAGACTAAGCAAAAGTGGTCATATACAAACTCTGCTTAGAGCATTTGAAGCTCGTGATCGAAACATACAAG